CCTTTCCCTTTAAAGGGGTCGAAACTAAAGCAAACTGGTAGTCCAAGTGTGATTCAAGTCCACTTAATCTGCTAGCTCACTGTGCGTAAATGTAATCAAAGTTTACCCTAATTAAACAGAGGCATGTCTCAATACCATTAAGGGAACGAAGTTCGACGTCTAGGCCTAGATTTAACATAGGCTGCACACCACGGTCCGCCTTTAACATGCGCGTTATTTGCTGACATACTTTCAAAATATTGGGGGCGGTCGGGTAGCCTAGTGGTTAAAGCGTTCGCTCGTCACGCCGAAGACCCGGGTTCGATTCCCGACATGGGTACAATGTGTGAAGCCCATTTCTGGTGTCCCCCGCCGGGATATTGCTGGAATATTGCTAAAAGCGGCGTAAAACCACACTCACTCACTAAAAATATTGTATAATGACGGCTGATGTGCATTCTCAGAAAGGCTAGGCATTACGCAGGCTTGTAAATCAGTAAAGTCCTATGTATTATCCACTTGACGTCTAGGTGTATACATGTACTTGGACAAAAGTGAAATGGTATATTTCCATCTTTATTTATGACCCATCTCAATGTGTCTGTGAAAGAGGAATGGTATTTCTCCAATTTGGTTCGGTCCTCTTATCTCAATTATTAAGCAATCGACATACATTAATCTTTGCCATGTGAGCTATTTATGAATGCTATTTATCAAATACTACATGATATTAGATTGTTACCCTTGATAAATCACCCAGATATCAAATAAATATGCGTCAGAATACACAAACAAAATACTCCGCAATACCATACCAATAAAATATATAGCAATAAGCTGCGCGTCACATCATTTGCAACCTTGCGTATTGACATGTTAATCTATTCATCGACAAAACATTTTATATGTTCGTGGCCAGACACTTACTGGGAACTTTTGTCGTGGGTTTGAGCGGTAATATTAGTGACGTTTTCTCTTTCCCGTGTGGCTCATTTGTCACTATTTGAGCGTAGTTTATTAAAAACGCACGTGATCAACTTTACTGTGAGTATTGTGAGATATAATATATTGACATGATAGTTCTGCATGTTGTTTGGTATAAAGTTATTGGTAATCATCCCAGTTACCGTTTTACACCCCAACCCTCCCATAGCTGACGTCTTGTATTGAGGGGTGTCCGGTATGGGTAATGAAATATAATGGGTGCCGTTGTACAAAGCGATCTTAGCACTGAGGTGATCGGAACTCCAATACCTTAAAACAGACTTACGACAGTCGTAGCGCTAAGGTTTTTTCAAGGTCACCCGAAAGCGGCGTTTAAACATGCTCCTGGATAGTTGTAACATGCTTGTATGTGCAACTTGGCATCAACTCGAGTGTTTGCATACACCCTTATGTTGTCAATATGTATACATACACACTGATATAGATATGACACCGACACAGATACCGACACCAGAACAAGACCGACAGTACTACAACACCAGATCAAGACCGACAGTACTACAACACCAGATCAAGACCGACAGAACTACAACACCAGATCAAGACCGACAGAACTACAACACCAGATCAAGACCGACAGAACTACAACACCAGATCAAGACCGACAGTACTACAACACCAGATCAAGACCGACAGAACTACAACACCAGATCAAGACCGACAGAACTACAACACCAGATCAAGACCGACAGAACTACAACACCAGATCAAGACCGACAGAACTACAACACCAGATCAAGACCGACAGAACTACAACACCAGATCAAGACCGACAGAACTACAACACCAGATCAAGACCGACAGTACTACAACACCAGATCAAGACCGACTGAACTACAACACCAGATCAAGACCGACAGAACTACAACACCAGATCAAGACCGACAAATCTACAACACCAGATCAAGACCGACAGAACTACAACACCAGATCAAGACCGACACAAAGACTGATATGCCAACTGACTGCAACATCGGCACTTACTCAGATATAGGTACCACACCGACATTAACAGTTTTTAGCTATTATACAGTTTGTTTGCTCTTTAACGCCGCACTCAGCAATATTCGAGGTATATGTAAATAGTCTGTAAATAATCCAAGTCTGGACCAGACAATCCAGTGAATGACATCATGAGCATCGATCCACGCTATTGCGAGCCTGACCACCCGATCCCGTTAGTCGCCTCTTACGACAAGCATGGGTTGCATCAATAAAGTATCATGCTCGTTCTCTCCTCTACGTTATATACCAATCAAGACATGTATGCAAATAAAACTCGTAATTTTGTAATTTTTTGTAAATTTGTAATTTTACACACCCGTTCCCTATATGGTTAAAACATTCTTTCCCCAGCTGGGGCGGTCACCATGCGTCACCCGGATGGTGGAGTATTATACCCGACATCCATCAATCAACGGTGTGTCTGGTCCACACTAGATCATTCAGACCGCGGTGATATGATTTGCCGGGCAGGAGAAAGTATACATTTGAAAATTGGATTTGACCAAATAACTGCAAATGTTGTCAAAACGTTGCTAGGCTGAAAACAGTCGCAGAAACACTGCAAATCTTGTTTGATTTTATACACCCTTTTGCCCGGCAGTTGAGTTGTAATATTACAGAGCGCGGCGTTAAACAACATTGACACACTAAAGTCAGATCTGTTCTGACCCGTGAAGATCCGGGGTAGAATAGGTCTTCAGCAATCCAAGGCGACTATGCTTGTCGTAAATGGCGGCTAACGGGATCGGGTGGTCAGGCTGACTGTTTGGTTGATGCATGTCATCGTATCCCAATTGCGTGGATCTATGCTCATGTTTTCAATCACTGGATTGTCAGGTCCAGACTCGATTATTTACAGACCGCCGTCATATAGCTGGAATATTTCTGAGTGCGGCGTTAAACAACAAACCAACCAGCCAAATCGATAGAAAGTCCGACAAAACTGAATAACTTATTATGCCAATTGTCTTTCGCAACCGTAAGTAACCGTAAATGAATGGTGAATGTCATGGTGTACCTGAACAAACACCAACCACCCTTGTCTCACACGTTACACAAAGAATAATACCAATTGTGTAATGAATTAATAATGACTACAAAATTACTTCCCGAGATGGTGGAGATACGGCGTCTTGCACGAAGACAACCAAGAGTCATATGGCCACGATTGGGGCCTTTGTGTTGATTCAACAAGCCCTGATACTGGATATGGAATTACTTTCTGCTAGTGTTCTGGATTATGAGGAACAATATCGTCAAGCGTCACGAAAGACACCTTGGACCGTGACAAACTAAGGAAGGGCTCGGTAGATTCCGTTATATTTAAAGGCTGGCCGATTTACATCGGAAACAGTCGAGTTGCAATACAGTAAACTTCGGTTATAACGAACTCAAAGGGACCACTAAATTTAGTTCGTTGTAACCGTAGTTCGTTTTATGCATATTTACAACATATATACAGCAAATGGACGGGACCAAAAAACAGTTCTTTATATCCGTCAGTTCGTTATAAGCGTGTTCGTTATAAACGTAGTTTACTGTAGAAATTGTGTAAATGGCAAGATAGACGTACCTCAGACAGATAACCCTCTCATTACCTTGTTTGAGAGACACCATATATGAAATGTGCGCTTAATTTCATTCAACTAAATTTGGACCACGAGAGAACCTAGACACAATAGAAGAAAGAAATCTTTCATAATATAGCGATAATACTATAAGACATGAAATAAGCAACGAAATACTGGAGCAAACAAGCAAGAACTGTAATATTGGTATGGTAGTGGCAACATCTTGTATATTTGTATGTGAATAGGTTCTTCAATATTCCCATCGGAGTGCATCTACTGCGTCATCAGTGAGTACACATATAATAACTAAGACGGAATGTTAAGTACTTATTTAATATCAAGTACGATTTTTAGCTCCACTCCATTGCAACTCCAACAATTTCTCCGAATAGAAAATATACGCCTGAGAATTGCCGCAAGGTTCGATGCAAGGAACTTTCACCACCAGGTTGACCCTGGTCCAAAACAATTATCTAAATAGATAAAATCTCAGATGTCTGATGACTGTCATGAGTGTTAATACAGTTAGTGCTTAGTGTCGCAGTAGTTGTGTGGCAATGTCATCAGCAGCAACTGTCATATAATGTATAATGATTATCATCAGTTGGATAATCTAAATATACGATGGTCTGATACATTGATGAGTGACTGAGTATGGTTTTACGCCGCTATTAGCAATATTCCAGAAATATTCCGGCGGGGGACACCAGAAATAGGCTACTGTACCCATGTCGGTAATCGAACCTGGGCCTTCGGCGTGACAAGCGAACGCTTTAACCACTAAGCTTTTCGTTAAAAGAAGCAAGAGCTTGATTGATGAAGCTTCAGAACAATACATAATCTTGAAGTACCCACAGTTTGATGACGTCAAGCCCAAGAATTATACAAATTATAATCATTTTATGTCAAATTATACATAACCTGGAGATTAGTGATGTGGTATAGTAAATAAAGTCTAGAGGTACTGACTTTGTTCAAAGGTCGGTGTTGTGTGGACAAATAAGGCTTAGTCAAGATACAAATTTCATATTTGTTGTCGTGCACTTGGTGCATGTAGACATACAATTAGGTTGCAGTTTTCAATAATAGGTTGCACTTTTGCATGTTATATACAGCTAAATCGAGCCCTGCAACCAGTCTTGATTATCCGACAAAACAGATCCCACTTGGCGTAAAGTCAAGCGGTGAAAATTATATAAATGGATCACTGAAAAATTAGTGATAACACCAGATGTTCCCGAACACCCGCCACACAGTATTTGCAGAAACAAGTATGTATTTGTTGCCTGACTTCGCGAAACAGTACTCTCGCCATACGATGGCGGCACACAAGTAAAGCATCCACGATTAAGGAAACGTTACAAACAAACCTTTGACAAGTTACAATATCGCGCGAGTTATTTGATCTCTGAATTGAAGTTGATAATGACCAGCACTCACCTTGTCAACATCTACAGTCAACAGTCATTGTCCTCTGACCGCGAGCTTCTGACACACACGTCACACAGAACCACCACCACCACACCGCCCTACATCATTACCAGTCATAGACAATGCGAGACTGCATGGCACCGCCCTACAATGGTAAACACACAATGCCAGGTGGATCCATTGATTCCTGGGTATTCGCAGATGCGCGGTGTTGGGGAGTAGTCAAGTCGTCGTAGATATTCCATAAAACAATAGACATACATTCGACTTGAGATGGGGATCTAATAGATCTCTCTGGAGACAGAGTTAAGCGGCATACATCGTCTCTCTGTAGCCATGACCCCGTGTGGTATATCATCCTGGTATGTCGTGTTTGTTGAATTTGAAAAATGGAATCCGATAGGGATGGTGGAATACATGGAGCTTATAGTCGCACTGAGATGCATACGTGTACGTCGTGAAGTGTATAGCCACATGGGCAGCTGGGACTGATGATCCTCAGGGAGCTGAGAATGAAAATACAGTGCACACTGATCCATGGACAGGGGGAATCTTGTAGCTCCATGGACATTGACTTGGTGAATGGAAGTGGGAACAACAAACAAAGTGGTAGTGGTGGTGGTGGTGGTAGTGGTAGTCGTGGTGGTGGTTGTAGTGGTAGTGGTAGTGGTGGTGGTGGTCCATATCATTACAATGTCGCATGGACAGACAGGTGGTTAACTTCATTCTACACACGAGATAACCATGTTATCACATTCGCACTTAGAACCAACAGCCTAAGCGAGAGTGCAGCGGAAAATTGAGCACATTTGTTTTCTATTTACAATGGCCACAGACATTGTTTTATTTCAGAATGCAATACGGAGAGAAATATATTATTGGTGACGCGTTTACAAACAAAATATTATTCCTCACAACGGAGAAAGCTGTTTTTGTGTCCCAGCTCCACCTGCCAGATCCTGATTGAATAACTTCCCAGCTTATAAACACAGCAGAATACGTCACCTGTCTCCAGGGATGTGCCTGGGTCTGTACATGCTCGGCTCCAGGGTCGGGTTATTAGTTCGGGGGTTCCAGGGATGTGCCTGGGTCTGTACACGGTCGGCTATAGGGTCGGGGTACTAGTTCTTGGGTTCCAGGGATGTACCTGGGTCTGTACATGCTCGGCTCCAGGGTCGGGCTACTAGTTCGGGGGTTCCAGGGATGTACCTGGGTCTGTACATGCTCGGCTCCAGGGTCGGGCTACTAGTTTGGGGGCTCCAGGGATGAACCTGGATATGTACATGCTCGGCTCCAGGGTCGGGCTACTAGTTCGGGGGTTCCAGGGATGTACCTTGGTATATACATGCTCGGCTCCAGGGTCGGGCTACTAGTTCGGGGGTTCCAGGGATGTGCCTGGGTCTGTACATGCTCGGCTCCAGGGTCGGGTTATTAGTTCGGGGGTTCCAGGGATGTACCTGGGTCTGTACATGCTCGGCTCCAGGGTCGGGGTACTAGTTCGGAGGTTCCAGGGATGTACCTGGGTCTGTACATGCTCGGCTCCAGGGTCGGGTTATTAGTTCGGGGGTTCCAGGGATGTACCTGGGTCTGTACATGCTCGGCTCCAGGGTCGGGCTACTAGTTCGGGGGTTCCAGGGATGTACCTGGGTCTGTACATGCTCGGCTCCAGGGTCGGGCTACTAGTTCGGGGGTTCCAGGGATGTACCTGGGTCTATACATGCTCGGCTCCAGGGTCGGGCTACTAGTTCGGGGGTTCCAGGGATGAACCTGGGTCTGTACATGCTCGGCTCCAGGGTCGGGCTACTAGTTCGGGGGTTCCAGGGATGTACCTGGGTCTGTACATGCTCGGCTCCAGGGTCGGGCTACTAGTTCGGGGGTTCCAGGGATGTACCTGGGTCTATAAATGCTCGGCTCCATGGCCGGGCTACTAGTTCGGGGGTTCCAGGGATGTGCCTGGGTCTATACATGCTCGGCTCCAGGGTCGGGCTACTAGTTCGGGGGTTCCAGGGATGTACCTGGGTCTATAAATGCTCGGCTCCAGGGTCGGGCTACTAGTTCGGGGGTTCCAGGGGTGTACCTGGGTCTATACATGCTCGGCTCCAGGGTCGGGTTATTAGTTCGGGGGTTCAAGGGAAGAACCAGGAGGTCCCAGACTGGAGACATGCATACATCACTTTGATGTCCAACAATATACTGATGTCACGTCATTAAACATTTTCTGTTTTAGATGGGGATTGTTATATGAAACATGCAATCAACAGTTTTCATTATTTCATATATAACAGCATTCCCCTTGACTCGCAATGTACTTAATGTGCGCCCAATCACACTTTGTGTGCGCATAGAACGGTGTAACGAACATCCGGGATAACCCTCAAAACAACGACTTGTTTGCGACGTTCTGTGATATTGCTATATATATGCTATTGCGTCTTACGAATCGTTTACGAGTGTGTCTTCTAGACCGTTATCTCGGGAAGAGGTATTTAGGCCATCAACACACAAGACACGTCTTTGCTTATTAAGTTTTTAATACCTCACAGCGGGAGGTTTCAATTAGCCTGGACACGGAGTTTATGCAGTGAGACAAAGACAGAGGTTAACGTGACATTCGGATGACAATTACCATACCAATACAAATGTCATTAAGTGTACGAGCATCTTGTGGTTGTCAGAGGCGATGCTGGTGGTGAATCAATCAACGGAGTTCTTTATGATCCTTAATGCTATTGTCTCTGTGAGAAGAAAAAGGCTACCGACCCAAATTGAAAGCGATCACAGATACACCGTGAACAACTTGTTGGAAGTTTCATAATTCATACACTAAATATCAATTCATTTAACGCCAAATTTGTTGTCTATAGGGTTACACTGATTCTTCTTCAGAAGGGGCGGTCGGGTAGCCTAGTGGTTAAAGTGTTCACGCGTCACGCCGAAGACCCGGGTTCGATTCCCGACATGGGTACAATGTGTGAAGCCCATTTCTGGTGTCCCCCGCCGTGATATTGCTGGAATATTGCTAAAAGCGGCGTAAAACCATACTCACTCACTCACTCACTCATTCACTTCTTCAGAAAACGCAATAAACGCTAAAGGTTAATATAAAAATTCATAGTCAGTATCTAAGGTGCATAAACTGTATCACATAGTTTTAAAAATGTAGCTCACCTAACTAATCACATAATAAATAACTGCACGCTGCCTTTAACAAAGTTGAACTTACACCAAAGTCCACGTTCTCGTGTTCATGCATTAATGATTCCATACGTAAGTGTGTTATCGGTACAAAGATTCACATAAACTGCAAAAGGAAGAATACACTTGTAAATTGCATTTGGCCAACCAATTACAAACGTAATCAAAACGTCACAAGGTTGAAACAGTGGCCGAAACACTGCACACTTGAGTCATAACACAACAATGATACCCGTATTAAATACACAAGATCCGAGGTAGAATAGTCTTCAGCAACCCAGCTTGCTGTAAAAGGCGGCTATGCTTGTCGTAAGAGGCGACTAACAGGATCGGGTGGTCAGACTCGCTAACTTGGTAGAGGCACGTCATCGTATCCCAATTGCGTGGATCGATGCTCATGGTGTCAACCACTGGATTGTCTGGTCCAGACTCTTTTACTTACAGACCGCCGTCATATAGCTGGAATACTGCTGAGTGTGGCGTTAAACAAACACACAATCAGACAAACATCCAAAACAAATCACATACAGGACACACGTAATATGGCTGTAATAATCATGCTTATGGCGTAAGACAACATTCACTCTGGATTACCATCACCAGTTGCAGTAACACACACACACACACACACACACACACACACACACACACACACACACACACACACGCTAATCAGAAATGAGATATTTTAGGAACCATATATATCTGGTTCAAAGTTTCCCTTCATCTGCCCTAAAGACCGCCTCCGCTGAGTGTGGCGTTAAACAACAAACAAACAAATACATTACCATCAAATAATCAATGTTTCGTTCTTAGCCAATATAAAACATGATGTATACATTCTTTTGTCCGACAGTTTAGACTTTGGTAAATCATTGTCCCCAAATCAGTTATACAATCGCATAGTCGCGGGTGTTATTGTCCTTTAATTATTCTGGTTCAGATGAAGTTTATATAAACCTAGGTCAATATACTTAGACTTCAAAGATTTACCTTTAAACCGCCATATATTAACATCAAGCTATACCAACTAATACCTCTCACTTGACACACGTGGAGTTGACAATGGCAAAACAAACCCTATCTTCCTAAAGTAAACACTTGACAGTTTCATTATCACGACCTTGTTGATAATGGATCATAACGAGTCTCATGAAAGGACACGAAACACACGACCGAAAATGGAACGCATTGTATTCTGGGAAGGGAGGTAACCGCTGAGGTCAGACTGTCATGTTTCATTACCCGTTATGTTCGTGTTTTACAGGAGTAATGCAAACAGCAACATGGAACCATTGATTCCAACAGAAATCGATCAATTTGCTTGCCTGGCTTTTCCAGCCGACCACATGAATTGCTCGGTTGTTATCTGGACTACATATTACTCCAACCTTCATTATAGTGATGTGTCTTGCACGGCAAACAGAGGGACACAGTGTCCTCTGTGGTTCATATCAAAAGGTTTGGCTCGAGACTGCTCAAACATTCCGCGGTATTCAGGTATTGAGCAACTGCCTCATTTGATAGGTATAGAAGAGGAATGAGGTTAATTTTCAACATGAACGTCTCGGGTAGATCTTTCTTTAATGGCGGATATTGGCAGTTCTTGGTAACAATAACGTCTTTTCGCTTCGTAGTTCTTGTTGATATTGTGTATAGTCAGGTTGAGGGATTCAGGTAGCGTTGGCACAGTGGGTATTAACACATCAGAGACTGTTCCGACGCAGCCCTGACACGGGCAACAGTTTCTAGTTTTTAATTGTTTGATTGCTCAAGTTATACCAGAACTCAGGATGGAGATTCCATTGGGTGTAAAAGTCAAAACAGTGTTGAAATCTATGAGAATGGATCACTTCAATACAGTGATGCAGCCTTAAACATATCCAAAATAAAACTATTATACGAAAACAATACATTCATCTGAAGAGCAGATTTTCCGCCGAATTATAATGCTCACGTAATACAAAAAAACCAAAAGGTACATTTTTATTCTGGCCCCAGTACCCCATACGTTTCATTGAGAAGACTAAGATTTGTTGCTGTGGCGGCGAGGATAGTTGCTCTTACTGTCAACGACTGGGTTTCCTGACGCGGACACATTTTACAGACATTCACGATTAGCTAGAATATAACGACTAGAATCGC